TTAAAAAACTGGACCCACTGTGCCATCCAAAAACTAAACACGTAAAGAACAACTCATTCAAAATATACACTTGATAAACACTAAGAAAAAGATTTAAGAAGATAAAAAAATAGGTAAATTTCAATGATATAGAATATGTGTTTTGTTTCTCTGAAGGTACAGGGTACAGCAAGTCAGATAAACTTTCCATCATCTGAAGGAACAGAATCATTAATATTTGATTACTTCAGTTGCAGACCTCGTTTGAATGATATTATACAGAGCCCCAAATCAAGTGACAATTAAAATGAGTCCTCTAATAAAATATAAGAGAGAACACTCTCATTAATATAATCCCTCTAACACCACTTGATAAAGAGATTTTCCCACAGTATCCTTCCAGAAGGAGGTTTTACATAATATTGAATCCTAAATTTCATGACTTGTCATGTATCCAAGTCAGGAGTTACTGAATTTGGTACCCAAAGAGAGTTTTAAAAAGTATTACCAAATATTTAAGGCAGAAAAACAAAACAAGTCAGCATATTCTAACCCAATATCATACAAACAGAAAATTCTGATATGTGAGTAATTTTACTGAAATGAGGTAATAGCATTCAGTAGTTGAGATTAATCAATTTATTTATTTTTAATAATTCAAAACATTTCCTCTAGACTTTTTATTTAAAATGAAAGAATACAAGAGGCATACTTATAGTAAGAATTCTAATTCAATTACTTTATTTTCACACACTTTCATCACAAATCTCCAGAAAATCCCTGAAGACTGAATACAGAGAAACACTGTAATGGTAGTTGAGAATAAAGGTAACACTAATTAATTGACGGCACCTAACAACAACAAGTTAGCATGGCAGTCAATTTGCCTCTTTTACCTTAACTTCCCCTGTTTTTGCTTGCCCTTTGCTCAGCCCGTTGTTGCTGCTAAAGGGGTAAGCTCAGAAGAACCTATAATTAGCTGTGCCTGATTAGACCAGAGGAAGGAAAAGGTAAGCCACTGGTTGGCCAGCAACATTCCACAATTCTTTCTTGAAGTTTCATCTAAAAGACATGGAGACTAGTCAGATGACAGTGGCTACTTGAATCAAAGGCCATGTTCACAGCCACAGAAACAGAGAAAGTTCTGCAGAGAAACTTATACACAGGAGACTGTGCTGTTGCTAGATAAGAAATATGGGGAAAGTCCTGCTTCCTGATTTATTGGTTTTAATCCATGAAGAACTGAGCTGCACTTAATTTCCTGTCCTTGATTTTTATACAATTCTCTGTTATACTGTGATAATAAGCTGTGCTAATTTTAGCACCTTTCTTTTCTTTCAATCAAATAATTTTTACTAAAACAGCAGATAAACAGATTTTTAAGGGCTACTGAGACCAAAATGTGAGAACTAAAGTTAATGAATTTAGATTTTATCAATGGACAATGATGAACCACTCAAGGGCTTCTGAAAAACAGAATAGTAGAAGTAGTCAACATTTTTTAAGAATGTAATTAATACATGTTAGATCCATTTAGAAGCCCTGACAGTTTAACAATTGCTTGGCTGCTAACTGAAAGGTCACAGTTGGAACCTAAAAGCAGTTTGAACCTACCAGCGGCTCTACTAAAGAAAAAACCTGGCAACCTGCTCCCGTAAAGATTATAGCCTTGGAAACCCTATGGGGCAGTTTTATTCCGTCCTATGGGATCATTATGAGTCAGAGTTGATTTGACGGCACACAACAACAGGTTCTGATTTTAAAAGCATCACCTATATTACGATATTTACTCTTCCCAGGAACTGTATGCATTAAGTTACAGTACTATCCCCAATTTACTGTAGGAAAAAACAAAAAGGTTTTTGCAATTAGAAGGGTTTAAAAAATCATTTTCTTACCACTTAGTTAGGAGCTCTGGTAGCGTAGTGCCTAACGGCACTTGCCTGCTAACCAGAAGGCTGGAGGTTCATGCCCACCAGCCACTCCTCAGAAGGAAGATGGGACAATCTACCTCCGTAGTGATACTGCCTCGGAAACCCAAGGAGGGGTCACTATGAGTCAGGTCCCACTCAATGGCACGTAACAACAACAACAACAACAACAACAATAACCACTTAGTTAATACCATATACTCTCCCTTGTTTCAGGAGATGAACTGTGTTAATTTAAGAGAGTGAAAAGACAAACCACAGAGTGGGCCAAGATATTGGAATTACATATATCTGACAAAGACTTTAAACTATAAAATATAAAGAATTCTCATAAATCAATAAGAAAAAAAATTGTGCTTACTGGGCCTGTAAGGGGAAGGTTATAAATTATAGATCAATTTATTTAGTACCTATTATAATATTAGGATGTTCTGTTTCTTTTTGTATTAATTTTGGTGATTTTTCAAATAATGTGCTCATTTCATTTGAATTTTCAAATTTATGAATGTAACGTTATTCACAATATCCTCTTAACCTTATAATGTCTATAGGTTCTATGGAGTTGGCCCCTTTTTCATTCCTGATATTGGTAATTTATAATCTGCTTTCTTTTTCTTTTTGAATAGTCTTATCAATTTTATTAATTTTTAAAACATCAACTTTTGGTTTTGTTGATTTTCTTCTACTGTTCATTTCTAGGAGCTCTGGTGGCATAGTGCCTAAGGCATTTGACTGCTAACCAGAAGGCTGGTGGTTCAAACCTACCTGCCACTCCTGGGAAGGAAGGTTGGGCAATCTACTTCTGTAGTGATACCGCCTTGGAAACCCAAGGAGGGGTCACTATGAGTTGAATCGACTTGACAGCAGTGAGTTTGGTTTTTGGTTTTGTTCCATTTCTTTTCAATTTTCACAAATTTTTGCTCTTATCTTTATTTGTTGTTGTTGTTGTTGTGTGCCATCGAGTTGGACCTGACTCACAGCAACCCCTCCTTGGGTTTCCAAGGCAGTATCACTATGGAAGTAGATTGCCCCACCTTCCTTCCGAGGAGTGGCTAGTGGATTTGAACCGCCAGCCTTCTGGTTAGCAGTAAAGTGCCTTAGGCACTACGCTACCAGAGCTCTTATCTTTATTAGTTCTTTCATTTCTCATCGTATGAGTCAAAATTGAGAAGTACACATTGGGTTTAATTTATTACTCTCTTTATAACTTCTTAAGTGAAGCCTTGATCACTGACCTTCAGCTTTTTCTTAAAATATTTTAAACATACAAAGTTTATTTAAGATTATCAATTTTCCTCTAAATACAAGTTTTTACAAGTTATTTTGATTATCATTAACTTTAAATATTTTTCAGTTTTTATTGTGATTTCTTCTTTCAGCCATGAGTTATTCAGAAGTGTTCCTCTCTATTTTGACTCATATAAGTATTTGTTAATTATCTTATTGTTACTGATTTCAGTTAATTCTGCTGTGGTTAGAGAATATACTCCATGTGAATTCAATCCTCTAAAATTCACTGAAATAAATTATGGGTCAGAAAATGGTCAATTTCTGTAAAGTTCTGTGTGTTTGATAAGTATATATTCGTCAGTTTTCTCTTTCGATATATATAGAGAAAAGTGATATATAGATAGCAGTTCTCTGGTAAAATTTACTGTTATTGGTGTTTTCTTGACCTATTACCATAATTACTTAAAAATCCATTATCTGCATTAGTTATGAGTCTGCTTTAATTATTATTTGTATTTCTCTTGATTTTTATCATTTGATCTTTTTTCTTAGCATGGTTGGTGATTTTTTATTGAATGCTGAACACTGTGTATGGAAATTTATAGCAGCTTTGCTGATGATACCTTCCTTTAGAATGGGTTTATTTTTTTTCTGGCAGGCAGACAGAGTACTAAAGCATCACCATGCACCATTTAAGTGCAATATTTTTAGGCCTTTTGAGGCTGGCCTTTTTCTGACATGCTCTCATTCCCATGGTGCAGCCTTTTTGGTGTCTCGAATGAAAAGCTAGTACTTACAGGACCTCTTCAAATTTTTAGGCCCTGAACCCTAACCTCTGTCTCTCCAGAACAAAACTTGGAAATCTCTGATTCGCTATTTTAGCTTCCTCTATGCTGCTTCTTACTTGGTTTATGAGAATTTTGCTCTGTGTTTCAGCTGCCTAAGAGTCGGCAAACACCTCACAGGAAACTTATAAACACAAGTTCAGGCTCACTTGTCTATAATTATTTTTTTTTAATCACTTTATTTATTTTTTTATTTTATTTTGATTTGGGTGAAGATTTACAGAGTAAATTCACTTTTCATACAGCAGTTCACATATACTTTGTCTCATGTCATTGACC